ACTGAGGACCGATTAAAGGCCCCCTTTTTTTTTTTTTGCAAGATTATGGACCATCTTTGGGCTTTACTCTTCCACCTCGGCCTTCTATTGAACACTGCTTGGAGCTGCTGCCAACCGGTGAGTGCCAACGAGGGGGGAAAAAAAATACATTTCGTACGATACAAAATAACTGTCTGTCACTGACATCGTGGTTACCATCGCTGGGCTGCCGGCTTTATAGTTTAAGTCTGAGCCAATGGTCGGTATTATACGGCTCGCCATCAGCAATATAATCAGGGCTGGCCGGTGTAGCCGATCCCTGGCTACCAGTAGAGAGACAGGCAGTGCGGATGCCCGGTCTGCATTGTCTGGGGGGTGCAAACAAATTTGGTAATACAGTTTCTGTGTGATTTACTTGTAAAACTCTTGTTTCCTCTAATTATTTGGGGGTCATAGAGAAATATCCAGCTTTTCCAACTTGTTCAGGACCGTAATTAGCTTTTTTTTGTTGTTGTCTGCAAAGGCCGGACACATACAGCAAAAAAGAACATAAAGAAGATTTTAACTCTTTCCTACTCTATCCAAAAAAAAAAAAAGTTTTGACTTTAGATCTTTAGATACACTCCAGTGGAACAAAAAAAAAATCTCAGATGCCTACATATTAAGCTGTTCTCTATGGTCTATGTGAGTAAGTTGCCAAACAAACAAAAAAATTGTATTTAAATGTCAAAAAAAAATGTAATAAAAAAAAAGAAAAAAAATGAAGCTAAAATTAAAAACAAATCATTTAAATTAAAAAAAGTTAAAAAAAACTAATTTAAATTTAAAAAAATGTAAACAAAATAAATAATGAATTAAAAAAATAAATAACATTGAATTGTTCAATTCGGCTAGGTCAATAGACGCCGCGGCTGTGCAATTTTTATACAACTGTCTCCATGTGAACTGCGGTAGGCACCTTCATCAGGATGTATTTTGTGAATGGCTTGTGGGCGTACAACAAACTGGAGATTCTCACCGTGGAGTTGATTTATTACATTAGGTTATATCCACACAGCTTACAAGCTCCGATCCGCCAGCGCTGACTGGAGGAACGAACGGGGGAGGGGGCGGGCACAGCTGGCTCTGCCTCTAGATAGGCAGAGCCAGCTGTCAGTCACGCAGCTGGGCGGATCTCGACATCGATGTCGGGATCCAACCCGGCTGCGGCGTCTCAGTATACCGCGAGCTGTAGCTCCCTATATACTGAGCAAAAAAAGTTCATTTAAATGTAAAAAAAAAAGTATTTTATTGTGTACTGATGTTGGACGAGAAGACCCGGCTCATAGCTGGTGTTCCGGTTCATCCTAAGTGTCATGCCTCAGGGTTGAGGTCAGGGCTCACACCAAACTCATTAAAGGAGAACTATGAGGTGAGTGCTTTTCACTCACCTCATAGTTCTAGCCGACCTGTGACAATGAGAC